TACTCTCCCCAGTAAAGGAGCCATTTATACAACTTGAAGATGATTGTTTTTTGAGAATGTTGCCAATTTAATCTAATAATCAATTGAATTTCACTGCAGTCAGAAAATTGTACATCCTCTTTGTATCCAAATCCTCAGAGCCTTAGGGAAAAAAGCCTTTGAAGTGGAATGTAAGAAGAATTTTAATGTTTTATGTAGAAAGACAGAATTTAGAGGGGAGGAGAAAGAAACAAGTGTGATGTGCTTTTTTTCACTTCAGTTGCTCTGGCACACAAACTCTGGTTTTTCTACTCACCCTTGTATCACCCCACTGGTTTCAGCACCTCATGTCTTATGTTCTCCTCAGCTTTAAACATCTCTGCAAACTCAAAGAAACATTTCTAACTTTCTCTTTCTGGCTATGTTTTTGAATGAATAAGTGAATTGAGTAAGTAAAGGCTGAGGTGATGCAGTGAAACAAGTTTGAGAGATCTGAAAGACTTCTGAATTTCAAAATATGCTTTGCATGTTACTTGGAATTTTATAAGTAATTTTGCTGTTTACTCTGTGTAAATGGAAAGCTGCTGAAGAAAATCTTGAAAAAGGAGGGAGTAGTGGTTCTATGTTTAAAAATAAATTAAATGCATAGATATTGCTACTAAAGCTATTCTACAGTCTATTTTGCAAACAGGATTAATCACTTAATTTAATATTTCTTTACAGTGTTCATCTCATTTTACAGGGCCTGTAGATGTCCAGTTCTTTAATTACTCTGAAAGTCTATGACCTACATTTATATAAATTAATGTATTATGATTGCTAGCTAACAATATTTTGTATTGTTCTAATCAAAACATTCACTTGGGTATAGATATCATACATGAGTTCTCTCCATTTTATTTTGGGAAGCTGCCATATTGTGAGTGACTAGGCAAAGAAAATGCATTTGATAGAAGAAGGAGAAATTAAGTAGCTTGTTACTCATTCCCTAGCTATGAGGCCATAGGTTTTTGTATATAGTAATGTACGTTTGATTTTTTTCCCCAAAAAGTGCCACGTGTATAATGCAACTCTGTTATTCTCCACCAGGTATAGGCTGTTCATCTTTTAAATGGTTGTTTTTTAATAGTATTTATGTCCAGAATATGCCGTCAACTGAGTTCTCATACATTTTTTTATTGGTGAGCAAAAGACAAATACCTCAGGTGATCAAAGGGGTGTGTGCTCCTTGCTTTCACCAAGTCTCCAGACCCACTCAGCAAAAATTTTGAAGCAGCTGAGCAGTGCTTTATCATAATTGCATGCTCTCAATGCTCAGAATCACAGACACAGGTTGTAACTAGAGGAGCAGTTGTTTGGATGAGCTTTAGCAGCTGCAGGTGGGATTCAGACAGTTGCTAACAGGATGCTTTTGTCTCCTGTGCCTCTGGTCAGGGCTGAGGTGGCTCTCCTGAGCTCAGAGGCGATGCAGGACGTGTGCATGTACTGCCCAAGCTCACACAAATGGTTCAGAGCAGAGAGAGGTTAGGACATGGCCTCAGAAATCTCCCTTTGTTTTGGGCACTGTTTTGTGTTTGTCATTTCCTTCTCCCCCCAAAAAAAAAACAACAGCTGCCTTATCTTCAGTCTCCAGGTGCTGCCACAGTGTCAGCAGTGGAGCACTTGAATTCCTACACAGTGCACACCGAAGATGTGTAGATGTAAAATATCTCCAGACTGTCATGTATAAACTGCAGCATTGTGAGGCAGTGAATCCTGATAAATCATGAGTTTTTCAGAAAAATCTGCTTATTTTCTTCCATTGCATGGTGTTTCTGATAATTGTCTTTTGTCTAAATATTTTCATTTTCAGTCAGTAATGTTACAGCTTTTGTTTTAGAAAGAAGAATTTCCTATTTTTGACTTGTCTTGAATAGGCTGGAAAAAAATTGGTGCTTTTATAATTTCTACATGAAAGGGGTTTTATTTTATGTTCTATTAGTTTTTGTTTTTCCTCTACAGTGCTTCGTCATCTGTCATCCCTCAATGCATACAGGATGATAAACTCCCTGTCCGTGTTAATGGCAGTCGAGAATGTTTTGCTTCTCTCAGGATTGGTGCCATATTACCAGGACAATGTATTGATTTGGGTGACTGCCAGTGTGTGATGCATGACAGAAATGAGAAATTGAACTTTCTGAACGTGAAGTAAATCGTGCTGATGATGATGTATAAATGACTGAGGGAAAAGCAATCAATCAGATGCTCTCTGCTGGCAGCAGAGCTACATACAATTTAATATATAGTAAACCAACAGTTGTTTACAGTCTAAATCAAATAGTGTTCTGTGCTAAACTCATATTCTTGCAAAGATTACTTGGAACATTTTTGGGTTTAGTATGCTTTCCTTTCTGCTTTACCAACATGTGGTGTCTGATGATTCAGAAATATTGAACTGCCTCTATTAATTCTTGCTTTTTCTTGTCAAGACCTACAGATTGTTTTTTTTCTAGACTGCTTATTACTACTTTAAATTGGTTGATCTTTAAGTAATTTTAACTTGTAAGTAGAGTTATTTTGAGTCCCAGATACCTGCAGAAAGAGTTTATTATAGCCACAGGTAATTGGACTTTACTGTAAAACATCCACTAGAGATATGAATAGGCCCATTCTCTCTTTTGGCAGATGTTTTGCAGATATTAGACTTATATCCAATTATCTTTGGGTACTCTAGCAGTACACAAGAGCATTCATGTGCAGATGACTGTAATATTCTTTGCTTTCCTTCTCCGCACTCTGAAATGAATGGGATAATTTATTCTCTTTGGAAAGAGAAGTATTTTAATGAAAGCTTAAAGAGACTTCCTGAAATTCTCCTTATTGATAAGTCCTGTCATTCTGGGTCTGTCTCAGGTTATCATTTGCACAATGTAAGACCCTTCAGCAGCAGGGAATTCTGCTCAGTTCTCCCCAAAGCCAGCCAGAGCTGCAGAGTTTGGAATGCTCAGTGTGAACTTTGGGGTGGGAGTTTCCAAGGATTCCTCTCTCCTAAGAAGTTGTCAATGTTTTCTTCAGGATAAGGCTGTGAGAATCCAGGGAGGAGCTGAACTAAGAATTCCTGGTAGAGGAAGATGCTGAAGCATTTGGCAGTCAGCTGGAATGTAAATCCTGGAGATCTCTCGTGTGAACCCTGCTATGATTAGACAGTTCAAGGCTAAACTGTTCATAGGCAGTTCAGCAAAAAAGTTCTTCCAACGGATATTCTAAAAAATACAACCAAATTAAAAGCCATTTGGGCTTTTTATAAACTTTTTTTCTCACATAGAAAAGTGGGGTTTTCCCTGCTGAAACTTATTTTGGCATTTGGGTTTTTTTTTTCAGAAATAAACGAAATAAAAATAAAATACTAATTAATTAGCTGTGAAGTTCAACAGTTTTGTTACCTCAGAATTAAATATATTACCTTGATTAATCCAAGTTCAGTAAATGGTATTAGAACCTGGGACTTGCCATTGGAGGGCAGGGTTGAATATCAGGATATCAGCAAAACTTGACAATATCACAAAAATACTCCCTAAACAGTAATATCAACCTTCCTAAACTCTCTAAGGGTGTTCTTTTATATTCTTCATAACATGAAGTGCAGTAAGTTGCTTTTACATCTCAATATCAGCCAATGTAATTATTCATCTTCATTTTATTTGAGACTTTATTTTATTTTAGATTTTATTCTATTTCTCTCTCTGAAAGCCTAGAGAAAGGCTTGACAAATATGAAGTTGCTAGGCAGGGAAACATAGGTAAACTGTCTGCCTCTTTTCTGAAGACAGACTTGTGACCAGGAAAGTAAAAAAGTCACTTATACAAACTCTGGAATTGCTATCAACATACTATGGGAATGTATCTACCAAAATACTTCTAAAAATTGTGTGTATTAGATAGATTTTTATAGTTGATTCAGTGTTTTTACAGATCATTTGGTTCATGTCTTCAAACTTGTTTGCCTTCTGCTAATGCTGTACACCTGGATTCTACTTGGATTATCAAAAATTGATGATGCACAGGAACAATTTTACAGATTCTATGCATTATTCCTTGAAACTCAGTGGTATTTGAGCACTCTAAAATGGTATTTAGTGTTCAATTTTGTCCTTAGTCTGTGAATGAGGACTTAAAATCAAGGTGTTTTATATATTTATTATCTCAATTTGTAAAAAAGTCATGGTCATTATTCTGTGTTTTAGTTTCAATGACAAAAATCTTTAGATTAATGCATAATGAAACATTAATGAATATTGTATTTCCTGGTTTTGCAATAGATTTATTTCTGATGTCTCATGATCATTTCTGTACACCAACTCTGGAGCACGGAACTTGGCTCAGGTGCCATTTGGGAACACAGATTCCTTTTCCATGGATTTGTTTTATCACTGTGTGAACATGTGCTGTGTTCTGGGGTGTTTTGTTGGGTGGTGGGAATTTTATTTTTCTTTGGTTGATTTCTTGTGGGTGTTTTTTTTGCCACTGATGGGTGGTTGCATCTGCTATAGTTGCTTCCTATGAGGCCTCCTACAAGCCTTACTGAATGTGCCTGTCTTTTACTGCCTTCAAGCCATTTTAGAAAAAGAATTATGCTGTTTTACAACTAAAAACTAAACATTGCCAGTGCTGGTGTTTCAGCTCAGGGACAGAAATTACAGCAAGCTTGTGCTGTTTTATCCAGCCTTGGGATCAGAAGTTACCTTAAGCTGATGTACAGCTGCTATCTCGAGATGGGATGTGTGTAGTCTTAAATTGGTTTTAAAGGTCTGTTTTGTTAATACATTCATGTAATGTATCTTTAAATAAAATAAAAAAAAAACCCAACAAATATTAAAATGCACCTAGGATTGCCTTTTGAAGTTGTATTTGGAATGACCTGTGTCTGTATGTTTATAAATGGCTTAATTTTCGAAATATGTTTTATATGTTTTGAGTAAATGAACTGTTCCCCATGATGTCAGAAGAGATTTGTATCTCACTTGTTTATTTCTGTTTTTATAGATGGCTATACAACAGATGACATTGAGTTTTACTGGCGTGGGGGTGATAATGCAGTCACAGGAGTGACAAAGATCGAACTGCCACAGTTCTCCATTGTGGACTACAAGCTTATCACCAAGAATGTTGTTTTCTCTACAGGTTTGTGGAGGGGAACTTAAAAGGGGAATTATTTTAAAGACTTTTAAAACTGGATTAATTCTCAGTGTGCAGTTGAGGAGCAAAACTTTTAGAAACAGGAATAAAAGAGAGCAGCAGCTGTGAATTTGGAAAGCAGAGCTTCCATAGTGTATAGGGCACCATTCATTAACATCTGTAATCTGGTATATTCAGGGTCATCCAATGAGCTGTATTTTCTGTTTACCTATGAAAACTGATAAAGCTACTTATACACCTCAGTGCCATAAAACCAACCCCACATGCAGGATATTTAGGAACGTTTTCTCTGTATTTTTAGTGTTCCTTTTGCTAAGTTGGAGATGTATTAGGCTAATTATTTTGTCTTCAACATAAAATCTTTAAAATGCTTGTTCCAGGATTTCCAATTTAGCCTGTTCTAGCAAGTGCATGACTTTCTGAAGGCTGAAAAGATGCTTTCTGAGAAGGAGTAGAAAATCAGATTGCATTTCATGACATAAAAAAAAAAAAAAAAAAAAAAAACTAACATATTTCAATGACATTAAATTGTTCAAGAGAGGCAAGAGTTGGATTGGGCTGTTACCAGGAGATGTTTTCTACCTACTTGAGAAACCCATTAGGTGTGTTAAAAAAATTATCTTCAAAACTCACTGTCCAGATATGGGTAGAAATCATCTTTGGAATGACTACAAAATGATTGTACATCCCAAATTCTTCAAAATCAAGCAGAAATGGTACTTGAAGAATGATTTCTAGGCACCCATATTAACAAATGTTACATATAAAAAATGCTACAATATTTCTGGTGTCCAGTGGCAAAAGAGGAGTGTTGCATTTCTTGGAGACAAGTTTAGGATCAGGGTCACACTGAAGCTGGCATATGACAGTTTGTCAGGGAAGAGGAATTTCTGTGCTTTGTTGCTCTGATGTGTATTTTGGCTTTTGATTGTTGAATGTTATGATTACCAGCAGATAAACAACTAGAGCATCTTTATGCCCTTAGCATAAAAAGGTTATTTAATCCCAATTCTTGCTAGAAATTCTGCCCCTGAATATCCTGGATCTTTCACCTCTGAGTGTACTCTACGTTGAATGAAAAAAAACAAAACAAAAATGACAGAAAAGAAAAATGTTTTCAGGCATTATACAAATAAATTATGGCCATACCAAATATTCTCTTTTAGGTGCCTACCCAAGGCTGTCTCTCAGCTTTAAACTTAAGAGAAACATTGGTTACTTCATTCTGCAGACCTACATGCCTTCTATTCTGATCACTATCCTGTCCTGGGTTTCCTTCTGGATTAATTATGATGCTTCAGCTGCAAGAGTTGCTTTAGGTAGGCATTTTTACACATCTCATGCAGTGTGCATTAGCTGAATGGTTTTTCTATCTTCTGGCTGAGTGGATAGTGCATGATTTGAAAATAAAAATATATGCGTTAGATCTTTTTATGTCTGGCTTGTTAAGCTTTGTATTATTTGCATCAGCATTTAAAACATCAGAATTTAAATAAAAATTAAAGTGATTTCATGTCTGAATCAGCTAACTTTATAATCATTGTAATCAAAATTAACCTAATTGTCTCAACATATTCTGTTGTTCTTTTCTCTGAAAAGAATGCACTTAGTTTGCTTTTGCCCATAGCAGTCCAGAACATACGTTCAGCATTGTGTTATAGATTATAAATTGCTTTTCCTTTCAGGAATTAAATAAAGTTTTACTAGGTTTGTATAGCTCACTTGTCCTTACATTGAGGGAGGAGGCTGTGCCTCAAATCCAGTTCCTGGCTCCTCACTTCGAAGACAGACATGGAGGGGCTGGGATGTGCCAGAGAAGGGCAGCAGAGCTGGGGAAGGGTCTGGAGCACAGGACTGAGGAGGAGCAGCTGGGGGAGCTCAGCCTGGAGAAAAGGAGGCTCAGGGGGGACCTTCTTAGCCCTAAAACTCCCTGGGAGGAGGGTGCAGCCAGTTGGGGGTGGTCTCTTCTGCCAAGTGAAAGGACAAGAGGAAATGGCCTCAAGTTATGCCAGGGGAGGTTTAGATTAGATTCTAGGAGAAACTGCTTTACCAAAAAGGCTTCCAGCCTTGGCAGAGGCTGTTCTGGGAAGTGGTGGAGTTAGCATCCATGAAGGCATTTAAAAGATTTGAAGATTTGGTGCCTGGGGACATGGTTTAGTGGTGGATGTGGCAGTGGTGAGTTAAAGGTTGCATTCAATGAACTTAAAGGTCTTTTTCAACCTAAATTATTGTAAGAATCTGATTATATTTTTTCCTTGCTGTTACCTTACGTTCCAAAAGCAAAACTGTTTCCCTAATTAATCTCTAGAGTATTTGTATATCTCATCACTAGTCCTATGTGTATCTGTTTATTCTGTGCCCCTCATCATAATTCCAAAAATAAGTATATCTATTGCCAAATTTTGTCAAAATCAGACTGATTCCTGCCAGTACAGCTCTTGTACAGCTAAAATGAGTAAAACCCCATAAAAGATGCCATTGAAAATTTGGCATTTTAATGTTATAAAATACATCCGAGTTTTACCAGATCTTTTTATGTAGCATTTTGCCTTAATTCTGAACATTCTGAAAATGCTGAAGGAAAGGAAGATAAAGCAACTGTAGCCTCTAATTTTTAACTGAGATTCATTACAGAAGGTTGCAGTTTATCTGGTTAAAAATATACTTATGGAATCCAACTACTGTTTGCTTGACTGAACTCACTTTATTACAGGTGTAGTGTTTTTTATGCTATGCAAAAAATCCATGTCCAAGATAAGGACTGAACAAGATGTTCCTGAAAAATTTCAAAAACAAAAAGGAAACCTACAGAGTGTGGTGGCAAGGTCAGGTAGCCTGTGAGAAATAAACAAAAAAAAATCTGAGCAGCCAAGGATCAGGTTAGGGAAGCTAAAGCCCTAAGACAGAACTAAATCTGTCCAGGGACATCAAAGGCAACAAGAAAAGCTTCTGTATAGGTTCATCGGTGCTAAAAGACAATGAGGGAAAATGGGAGTCCTCTCTGAAAGGAAACAGGAGGCCTGGATTGCCAGGATCTGGAGAAGACTGAGGTACTGAACACCTTTTTAATGCCTTGCTCTCATGGACACGTGCTCCAGACACATTGCCCAAGCAGCAGAAGGCAAAGGCTGGGACTGGGAGAATGAAGAACCACCTGCTGAAGGGATCTTGTTGGAGACCATCTAAGGAACGTGGGGATCACAAGCACTAAGTCCATGGGACCTGATGAGATCCATCCACACGGCCTGAGGGAACTGGGAAATGAATTGGCTGAAATTCTATCCATGATACTTGAGAAGCCATGGCAGTCTGGTGAAGTTTCACTGACTGGAAAAGTAGAAGCAAAGCCCCCTTTTTAAGAGGGGGGAAAAAAGAAGACTTGGGGGACTACAGAACTGTCAGTCTCACATTGGTGCCTGTCAAGGTCATGGAGTAGATCCTCCTGGAAGCTATGCTATGGCACATGGAAACCAAGGAGGTGATTGGTGAGAGCCAGCCTGGCTTCACTAAGGGCAAGTTGTGCATGACAGAGTCTGTGGCCATCTACAGCAGGTCCCAGCTGGTGGAATGAAGGAAGAGCAACTGATGTCATCTACCTGGGCTTGTGCAAAGCATCTGACACTGTTATGCGTGAGATCCTTCTCTCTAAACTGAAGAGTCATGGATTTTTTTTTGGATGGACCACTCAATGGATAAGGAATTGGCAGAATGGTTGCACCTAAATAGTTGCAGTCAACAATTTGATGTCCAAGTGGAGATCAGTGACAAGTGTCCTAAGGGGTCTGTGTTGGGATTGGTGTTGCTTAACATCTTGGTCAGCAACATGGACAATGGGATTGAGGGCATCCTCAGCAAGTTCCTGAGCTGTGTGGTGCTGTCCACATGCTGGAGAGAAGAGATGCCATCCAGAGGGTCCTTAACAGGCTGGAGAAATGTCACAAAGATAACTGTGTGACTGGAGCACCACTCTCTATGAAGACAGGGAGCTGGAATTGTTCAGCCTGGAGCACAGAAGGTGCCAGGGAGACCTTAGAGCACATTTGGGAGCCTAAAAGGTGTCCAAGAGAGCTGGAGAGGGACAAAGGGGAATGCCTTTAAACTGACAGCTGAGGACTGAGGATTTAGATTAGATCTTGGGAACAAATTCTTCACTGTGAGTGCAGTGAGACAGTGGATCATGTTGCCTGGAGCTGGGGCATCCCTGTTCCTGGAAACATTCAAGGCCAGGGTGGACGGGGTTATGAGCAACCTCGTTGCTCATAGTGGAAGGATCCCTGCCCATGGTACTAGATGGTTTTGAAGATCCCTTCCAACCCAAACCTTTCCAGGATTCTATTATTATGAAAGGAGGTTAGAGATATCTTTTTCCCACCAGGGTGAAAAAAAATATTTTTAAACTTCAGCATTTGAATAGTATAAATTATTATTCTAGAAAATAAATCACAATTATTTCAATCACTAGACTTTTCAATTCTTTTTCCAGGAATCACAACTGTGCTCACAATGACAACAATTAACACCCATCTTCGAGAGACTCTTCCCAAAATTCCATATGTGAAAGCCATTGATATGTACCTTATGGGATGTTTTGTCTTCGTTTTCATGGCTCTGCTGGAGTATGCATTGGTCAACTACATCTTCTTTGGCAGGGGACCTCAGCGTCAAAAGAAAGCAGCAGAAAAAGCTGCCAGTGCCAACAATGAGAAGTTGCGAATGGATGTCAATAAGGTAAACTGTAACAGGGATAAATTTTTAGCATTTTCCCATGAAGACAGGCTCTCACTTCTGTCAGACAGTGCTTTAAAATGTGATTTCTTATAGAAAATGAGTGGAGTGGAATTATGATGACCTTGTCTTAGCTCTGCAGAGAAGTGTACTTAGCTACCTCAGCAATGAATGCTGCCCTCCAGCCTGGAAAGCTGAATGACTTGCTTCTAAAGCATGCAGTCAGTGAAGCTTTACTGAGAGATCTTTTCTTAGTCAGAATGTAGACTTGAATATGTACAACCTGTTTCCAGAGGAATAAATCCAAAATGATGGCTGTATATTCTAGGAAGAGCTGTATGGAACATTGGAACTAAATTCTAAATTTAACCTGCTTTCATAAATCTTTCAGATGATCTGGATAAGAAATATTTGCCACAGAAGTGTTTAAAGTTTGAGAAGTTTGCATATTTTCAATGTCTAATGGGCCAGGATACTATTGACTAAATGAGGAACTTCTCAGAAATAAACCATCAATGTGCTGTGTACTTAATTTTGAATTTAAAGTGGCCCCCTAGGGATGGAGAATTGAGGCAGAAAAGGTATTTGCCAAGATACACACTTCTGGGAAAAGTATCCATTATGCTTAATGAAAATGAGGCACTTATCATAAAGCACTTGTAATTTATCACTTTGACCATTTTGGGATGAATTTCACACAGTGGCAAATCTGTGCTGAAAGCAAAAATGTTCTCAGTCTAAAATGTATAAACTTTCACACACATGCAGAATTGGAAAGTTAAATAAGGTTGAATTATCTTTGGGGCTTGGGGGGTTTTTGGAGGGGGTGAGAGGGTTGTGGGATTTTTTTTTGTCAGGGGAAGGAAGCTCTTTGACAATCCAAGGAGAAAAAAATCAAAGTCAGAATCTTAAAAAAAAAATGCATTAGAAAAAAACCAAAGGATTATTTGTCAATTGGAAACTTAAGTTTCATACAGCTCTAGTAGTGAAATTTCTAATGTTTGTTCAGAACCTCTACACACAAAGTGGGTCTGCAGACAGAAGAACTTTTTATTCCAAAAACAAAATAGTTTTATAGGTTATAATTTATAGTCTTTTAAGAAGGAGAGTTCTATCACCATGGTTCAGATCTCATTCTATTTTTTTTTCTTTTTGATTAGAGTGGAATATATTTTAATGAATGAAAGCATAATCATAATGATGAGTTTAATGTTGATGTTATGTTACCATATATCATCTTTTAGTATTATAAAGTTCATGAAGACACTGTAACATGTTTTTATTTCTATTGGTGATTTTTCAGCAATGAAAAAAATCTGTGAGGTTTATTTAAATTGTTAAGGTTTTTTTTTCTTCTTTAAATTTCACTTTTAAAAATGCTATATACTATGCTGTAAGTAATTTTATAAGACTACATCTGAATTTACCTGAAGTCTTTTCTCTAACATCAATGGAAATTTAAAATCCATAGCTGAGGTATATTTTTGTACACTTTGCTTCACTTGTGGTGTTTTCAACATTCTTGTTCATACAATAGACCTTTCAGCTGTGTAACAGAATAGCCAAAGCCCAGTGGCAAATTGCTGATCATGAAGCAGAATTTGAAAGCACTAACTGTTGTGTTAATCCAATCCACTAGGTAGAGTAAATTAATTTCAATAACTGTTCAAGAATACCAGCTTACAGGATTGACACAAGATATACTGTGGAACACAAGGAACAATTTTACATTATTTTTATTTTTTTCATAGTGAGCCTTTCAGTTAATGTTCTAGGCCAGCATGGTTAACAGTCTATGGCAGTTCTGCTCTGGTATCCAGATCCACTCTGATCTGGTAATCATGTTTGCAATCCTTTGAGCAATAGTAGGGAATCAAATAGGAGAGGATCAGAGAACTTGTCCTACTGCACAGGCTGCTCTGGGGAGAAGGAAAGGAGCTGACAGCTGTTCTTGTTGTTTGACCAGCAGCGAGAAAACATATTAATATTTAATGGACCTGAATATTTTATCTATTAAAGGGAGAAAAATATTATGTAATTATTTTCATTTATAAGGATCAAAAAGGGGTCTGAACTGCTGAAATTAGTTCAAAAACAGTTTTTCATAAAAACTAACATATTTTAGAAATGGGATCACACAAACAGTTCATCATTAACTAGCCTCCAATAGTGAAGGACTGATTTGACAAGGCATGAGTGTTCTTTTGTGATATTACAAGATTCCTCTTGAAGCACTATGTGCAATATTATGAATTCACAAGACTCAGATACTACACAAGAGAAGATTGATACCATGAGGAATAAACCTCAAAATATAAGGATGAAAACTTCTACACAAAACTTCTGTTGCTGCATTCAGCATTGACACTCTAAAAGAGGTGGATAAATAGTTATTGGAGCTGCTGTTTGTAGCACAGCATCTTTGCTTATACTTTACCGACCAGCAAATCTGTAATGGTTTTCTTGCAATTCCAACACTCTTGTTTGGTAACAATTTCATAAAACTTTCAATCAACAGAATGTGGTGAGAGGGGAAGTGCTGACTAGTCCTCTCATCCACAACTGGTGGCAAAATCAAAGGAGAAGTTAATTCATGCTCCCTTTATGCTGTTGAATTCTCTTCCATGGGCAGATTCCAGTGTGGACACAGGCACTGGTAATCTCTCTATTTTTGCTTGGTGTTATTCAGAAGATACTAGGGAGCCTAAAACACATTGTGCAATGGAAGCTTTTTTCCCATGACTGTAGTGTCTGCTGAATCCATTGCAATCTCTTGGAGATTTGGTGACTCAGGTGTCCTCTTTTTCCATTTGAGTGAACTGCATAAGGCTGGCTGCAGAGCTTCCCCAGGGCTATTCCAGATGAAACTGTGACCAAATCTTTCTTTAAATTTCACAATATATTCATATCATATGCAAAATCTGATAGTTTGGGGTTTGTTCTGTCTTTTTTTTTTAAATCATGGAATAGTTTGAGTCAGAAGGGACCTTTAAAGGTCACCTACTCCAAGCTCATTTTAATGAGCAGGGCCATCTTCAGCTAGATCAGGTTGCTCAGGGCATCATCCAATGTGACCTTTGGATCCCCTCAGGTGTCCTCTTTTTCCATTTGAGTGAACTGCATAAGGCTGGCTGCAGAGCTTCCCCAGGGCTATTCCAGATGAAACTGTGACCAAATCTTTCTTTAAATTTCACAATATATTCATATCATATGCAAAATCTGATAGTTTGGGGTTTGTTCTGTCTTTTTTTTTTTAAATCATGGAATAGTTTGAGTCAGAAGGGACCTTTAAAGGTCACCTACTCCAAGCTCATTTTAATGAGCAGGGCCATCTTCAGCTAGATCAGGTTGCTCAGGGCATCATCCAATGTGACCTTGGATCCCTGTTTCCAGGGAGGGGGCATCCACCACCTCTCTGAGCAACCTCTTCCACTGTTTCACCACTCTCATTTGAAAAAAAGTTCTTCCATGTATCTAGTCTGAATCCTCATGTAAGATATACTCCCTTTTCAAAGACTGTTGATCCTGTTTGTGGTAATGGAAAGGTAGGGAAGGAATTGGGCCTATATCTTCATTTGCTTCTTGGATACTGAAACCTGAGTTATAAAATCATGTAGAAATTTAAAAAACATAAAACTCAGGCAGATTCAGGCTCAGTTACCAGCAGATACATTGCCACAGACTTGTTAAATCATATAGGACTTGCTTGATTTTCTTTGCAGTGAGTTCAGATAAAAATGGCTCAGAGTATCATCATTTCGCTCTTGAAACTTCTCAGGCTGCATTTAGCAATTGGTTCCTTTAGTCCAAGTCATCATCTTTTGCCTTGCCAAGACTAGTTGTTCTTTCTATAAACAATCATATTGCTGCTATGGGTAAACCACTGCCTTTCTTCTTACTCTAGACATCATTTAATTTATTTGAGACAGCATTCACATAATTTCCTCACCTCTCTTTTCAAGTTTTTCATCTTTTGTCTCCTATGCCTTTCTTGCCTTGGTTGTCTCAAGTTTCTCATTTTCTTCTGTTCTGATTGGCATAGTATTGCAAGTGTACATAAGGAGAGGTACACTGAGTGTGTCCTATGTCTGCTTGAGGCTTGTCATAAAGTATGGTGTATATACGGTAAGCCAGTGTTATGTCTTTTTATTCTGTGAGCTTTTGTATTTAAGATGGTCATCAGTGTCCTTTTGGTCCTTTGCATTTCATCAATCTTTATGCTAATATTGTCTGTGCTTCTTCAAGATAATTAAGATATATTAAAATACAGGGCCAGATTCCAGCCTCTGACTTCCCAATAAGATGCACCTGTCTTCCTGTGGGTAATTGTACATGCATCTGGAACATGTTATCCCTTCTATTTTAAGATAATGTACCAAAGGCTTTACTGAAATCCATAAATCATCTCCTTATACAAATGATCTAGAAAGATTTGGTCTAGAAGCCTCTGTGACCCTGTTTTTCTTCTCATTGTAATTTTTTTTCTTGTTTCCTTGTGAGGTGGAAGGGGGCTAGGGGAGGGAAACAAGCTACTGTCATAAAACTCTTCAGGTTTTCTCCCTGTGAAGTTTGGCTTTGCCTCCAAGAAGATGATTTGCCTAACTACAATTCCAGTGTAGAGCCTGGTTCAGCTGCAATGATTTCTTAGGCAGACCCCCAGTCATTTTAATAAGTTTCATTTCTGTTATAACAGCTCAGATAATTAGTTTCCTGGTGCTCTCTCAGAGCTGACTTATTCCCCTTACATTTTTTTCCAGAATCTAGGAGCCAAGTTATTTTTGGTTAATTTTTAAATGTACTATTAATTTGTTGTTTCTAATAATTTTACCTTGGATGTTTCCATCTTGGAACTCTGATTTAGATGGGTTTGCTGATGCTGACCATTGTGATGAATCTGATATATCTTGTAGACATTTGCTGTCTGATCACCTGCCAAGTTCTATATTTTCCATATGTTTTCCTGTGTTACTAAATTTCCTGTCAGCCAGCTGCATAACCTGCTG